CCCTGCCCAGTCACCCAGCAGGAAGCAGCAGAGCGGGGCCTGAACTGGGGGAGTCTGACTCCTCTCCACCAGAGCTCAGCCCTGAGCTGGAGGGAAAGAGCCTGACACCCCAATGGCCCTGAGCCCTCCCCTGCTCAGTGTCACTGTCTCTGCACAGAGGAGACAGAGCCCTGCAGATTCAGGTCCTGGAGGCTTCCCTGCAGGCCCCTCTCCCAGCAGGGCACAGCCAAGGTCAGCCTGAGAGGCACTTGAAGGTCAGGGCCAGGCCTCTCCTCTGCCCTGGGAGAAACTGAGGCCCAGAGGGGAGGGGCTGGTCCCCGTCAGCATCTCCAGAGGGGGCTGCTCCCCCTCAGCTCAGCCCTGCCCTGGACCCCACCTCCCACCAGAGCCCCTCACTCACCACTCTGGGGTCCTGGGTCCGTGGGGGTGAGGGGCTGGTCCTCAGGGCCTCCTGGGGTGGGTGGGRGGTGAGGGCTGGGCTGCCTGCCCCCCACTTCAGCTGGCTGCTCCTCCCCAGGCTGGGCCCAGAGTCACGTCTGCCTGGACCTCCCCCTCATGCCTCCCAGCCCTGAGCCCCAGGGCCTGGGGTCCCCACCGCTCCTGTGCCACAGAGGGAGGTCTTGGCCCTCCTGGGTGGAAGCCTCTGCTGCTTGCTTCCTGCTTTGTCCCCCTGGTGAGGGGCTCCTGGGCCTGTGAGACTGGTGGGAAATGGGGAGGGCCTTTCYCCTTCTGTCTGCCCTGAGTCTTGCCGGCCACCCTCTCCCCACCAAGTCCCTGGTGGCCTTCAGGGGTRAGGCTCTAAGGGGAGGATTGGAAGGGAGGCCCTGGAGGGAGCTGCCCYATCTTCTCACGGGGATATCCTGGGSACAGCCTGGCACTGSCCATGAGRACACAGGAAGAATGGAGACCCTCACCTGATACCCCAAGCTCTAGGGTTCCCTGGGCTGTGACAGCAGGTAGGGGGTGGCGCTGTGTGAGCCATAGCACCTGTAGGTGCCCCGTGGACCAAGGTCACAGCATTCAGTGTGAAGCTGGCCAGAGACGGCACAGGCCCATCCTGGGCGTGGCAGTGCTGGGCAGGAGCAGCTGACCCCTCCTCGCACAGGTGGAAGGTGTCAAGCCAGACCTCAGAAAGACCTGCAGGGTCCCACTCCCCCTGTTCCCTGAGCTGCACAGGAGGGACACCTTCCCTCCCAGGGCCACCAGGGGGCCTGGGTCAGCCCAGGTGAGGGGTTTAGGGGTGGGTTCCTGAGAARGAATCAGACCTGGGGTTCAGGGATGTCTCCCTGTCTGCCTGGTCAACCCCAGGCCCCTTCCAGACTGGTCAGCACCCAGGCCCATGGACTCCCCTTTCCTAAACCCATCGGAGGTTCACTTAGGCTGAACCAGGAGGTCYGAGACTCACCTACCTTTGTCTTGGCCCACAGGCCAGGACCCAGCCCTGGATGGGCGCACCCTGTGAGACTGTCCCCATGTGAACCCAGGTGGCCTCAGGACCTCCCAGGGCACAGCGCCCCCCCCTGCTCAAGAGTGGCAGCACACCCTCCCTCTGCCTGCTCTGGTTCTCTGAGCTTGGGGCTCAGAGCTGGGCTGAGTGCCTTGCCTCCCCGTCCCCAGACCTGAGTCCCAAGGCTCYCAGGGACCAGCACCCAGGAGGGGTCCTCTCTGTCCCCAGAGCTCATCCAGGCAGAGGAGGGCCGTGAGGGCGGGGGTCTTGGAGCTGCCTCCCACGGTCCTTGGGGCAGAGCCCTGGCCTGAGGTCCCTTGGCAGAGGGCACCTCTCAGCTCTGTGTTGCAACTGGAGTTTCCTCCCCAGCTGCTGCCCTGGAGGAAGCTGTCCTGCCCTGGGGCCGC